GAGTCTCCTTCTTTGGAGGAGGTCAAACAGATGGCCATCTGTCACAGGGAAGACTTTGATTATGTCTTCCTGCATGGCAGAAGGGGGTTGGATTGGATGGTCCTTAGGGGTCTCTTCCAATTCTAAGATTCAATTATTCTATCAAAGGATGAAAGAATATTAGGAATAATTTCCTGGGGGTTTGGTGGTGGAGGATGATCCTTTCATTGGTGGACTGTCCTTCATTAGATTAGGTGGATTCCTGACTTGCTGGGGGTTGGATTAGATGATTCTTGCAATCCATTCCAACTGGATGATTCTGCCCTAAGGAGCAATCTCAAATCCAGCATTGGGGAAAGGAGACATAGGTTTGGTGGAAGAGCCATACTGGATGACACCAAAGGCTCCTTTAACCAAAGCCTTATGTCCTCATCAGAATGACGTAACTGCAAACTCATCCCTTGTCCCATGTTCCACCGCAGAGTCCCTGGGGAGTCTTTCTTCACAGGCAACCACTCCTTCAAAAGGTGTGCTGGCTAGGGGATTTTGGGAGCTGTAGTCCAAAAAAAGACCTATGGAAAATGCATGACAATGTTGCAAGAAGAAGAAATTGCTGACAAAGGGGAGGGGGTAGGAAAGAGGAGAAGATTTTAAAAAAATAACACAGAGGTATGGAACAACAATTCTCCATTCCTCTTAACTGTGGAATCAGTTTAAAGGTTTAAAGAATTGGGAGGTAATTAATTCCATAATTTTCCTAGGCAATTTTTGGATTAGGAGGATTTATTTTAAAATGTGTTTCTTCTTGTCGTGCACCTTCAAGTTGGCTTCAGCTTAGAGTGACCTTCTGAATGAGAGATCTCCAAGCCACCCTGAGACCTTTCACACTACACACTTATAACACTATGATTTGACTTTAATAGCCATAGCAACATCCTATTGAAACCAAAGGGATGTATAGTTTGGGGAGGTACCAGATCTCTCTGGCAAAGAATGATAAATAAATGGCAAGTCAAAGTACAAATCCCAGGGTTCCATGGCAATTAATATGATATGACATAATAGCTATCCTTAAATATCTCTGAAGGAAGGAGCAAGTTTGTTTTCTACTGATCCAGAGACTAGGACATTTTGGCTCATGATACATCCAAGGTACATCAGCCTCGGTTTAGTCATCTTGGCTTCTAGGAAAAGTTCAGGCTTGATTTGCTCTAAGACCCATTTGTCTTTTTGACAGTCCATAGTATCCATAAAATAGGCTCACAATTTCAATGAGTTGATTCTTTTCTTGTCTGCTCTGTTCACCGTCCAGCTTTCAAAACCATACACAAAAATCAGAAATGCTATTCAGAGACATAGCTGTGTTAGTCTGGAAAATCAGTCTGCAAAGGGATCTGGTAGCACCTTTGAAACCAACTGAAAGACAGAAGAGGATAGCATGATTGTACACTTGAGCCTACTTCCACAGATGCATGTAGTGAATATATGGAAGCTCATGCTACCAGCTTCTGTCTACTCCATGCATCTGAAGAAGTAGGCTCAAATCTACAAAAGTTCATACTACCGGCTTCTTTCTTTGTCTCAAAGGTGCTACAAGAAATACCATGGCATAGATGTTTTATTCATCATGGCTGTCATTCCAAGTCTTAATGGTAATTGTTTATTCTTTAAAAGGCCAAGGCACTGATTCATGTGTGTGCATGCACAAAATGCATTCAACACACATTGATGATAAAACAAAGAATGCACACCCCTGCAGTTTTTGAGGATGATAAACAAGCCAGTGTGGTGTAGTGGTTTGAACATTGGATTACAACTCTGGAGACCAGGGTTCAAATCCTGGCTTAGACAAGTAAATCCACTGGGTGACCTTGGGCAAGTCACACACTCTCAGCCTCAGAGGATGGCAGTGGCAAACCCCCTCTGAAGAAATTTACTAAGAGATTTGTCAAGAAAATCCCATGATAGGTTCCCCTTAGGGTCATCATAAACTGGATTATGATTTGAAGGCACACAACAACAAAACAAGCACACAGTGCTAAAGCATTGGTGTTTGCCACACTGCCTTAATTTAAAGCAGTCTCCAGGGATCTTGCAACCTTCTCGCCCTCCTGCTAAAGGGTCTTTACATTTTCTCTTTTCCTTGAACAATCATTTCCCCTAATTAAAAAGAAATAAGTGCATATGCACACACACACACACACACACACACACACACACACACTCCGCCACAGGCTGCTGCCTCCATCCTTTTGCTCAGGAGGGAGAAACAATGGGAAGGGAAAGGGCGATAATTACAGAACACATCTTTTGGTAATTGTTTAGTTCTATTTTGGAGGTTTCTTGTTTGTCACCCTAGCAAATGTTAATCTGTGACGCCATTTATCATGTGCGGAGTCAGGGGCTTATGCATCCTCATTTGTATTTTATTTTATTTTTTAATCAGTGCCTTGGCCTTTTCTGAGCTATGGGAAGAACTCAGCTAATGAGGCCAGTTCAGGAGGGAATAAAGCCCCACAACACACAGAAAGAGACACACACACATACAGACACCAGTAATGGGTCTGGATAATTGAAATGGAACCAGAAGATCCCAGGAGGAACACTTACAACTTCTTCCTTCTGCCACTCCTGTCTTTTATTCAACTTGGCACTGTGGGGGGGAAATCACAGTTTTTAGAGACAGTTTCAATATGCCCACCATGAGGCTGATCAATTAATGTTCAGAGACTCTTGCTGGCTCACGCCTCCGAAACCCCCATTGCAATTACTGTAGTCTTCTGGCATGGCGGAAATCATCTGTGGGCTTTCTTTTGCTTGCCAAGGGCAAAAGTTCTCACTGTTCTCTCTGTTTCTGTGCAAGATTCTCTGCTCATGGACACTTTTTGCATGAAGAAGGAGGTCTCTTGCAAATGGAGAGCTCCCTCCGACTGTAGCCTCCCTTGGTGGAAGGATGGAAGAAGCCACTAAATAGCAGGTGAGAAGGCTGCTTTTATCTTCCCGGAGACTATCTTTCAAAGCCAGAGTTCAGCCCTGAAACCCATAGAAAGATAAAGACTATCAGCCTATTCAGAGTAAGGATGGAGAAAATATTCATTTGCTATGTTTGGATGTGAGAGCTGGACAGTCAAGAAAGAAGATAGGAGGAAAATCAATGCATTTGAGAGAATGTGGTGCTGGAGAAGAGTATTGAGGACAGCCAAAAGGACAAACAAATAGGTCCTAGAACAGATCTAGCCAGAGATATCCCTAGAAGCC